GGACAAACCTAGGCGTTAAGAAAAACGAATTAAAAAAAGTAGCCGTTTAAGCATAGTTACCGTTTGGAAAACCAGTTAACGGCTACATTATGATGAGAAGACGTTTATCACTGTCACATTCTTCAACGAAAGAAGAAAACCAAGCTCTTTATAAATTGCCCTTGACGTTACAACTTTGATATGATTGTCGTTGAAAACACTTTCAAATTGGGCAATTTCTGTATTTTATTGGACCTAAAAGAATATGGCCACAAATTAATGGAATCATTAGAAGCCTAAATGTGTTGCATTATCATCAAGGCATGTGCAAGTTTTTTTTTGTTTTTTTTATATAATAAGAGAGATGAATGAAGAAAGCTTCAAATGATGTACTTATATTATCATCAAATACAATTAACAAAAGTTGTTTAATGTAATAAGATTGATCACTCAAGTTGACCATACCACACCCCTTGGATCTTCACATCCTTTGGTACCTTAGCACCCAAGTCAGTATCCGATGGCTGAATACTCTCGAACACTCCGATCACTTCTCCTGTCTCCGGTTTGCTCTTTGTCACTTTCAAAGTGATCTCTCCAACTGAAGCTGCCGTGTTCTTCACGTTCTCCTTTGAAAGCTCTTCCTCGTCTCCTCTGCCTCCAGCTGGTAACGCCACGGCGTTGTCATATCCTGTGGATCCACCACGGCCCTTTGGGTCCAAGAAAGACGAGCCACGGTACGATGGGACTAGGTATTTTCCGGTGAAGTTGTCTGGTTTGCCTGAAGCATCAAGTTGTTTGACTGTGAATAGGAATGGCACACGCTCGCCTCCAGGAAGCTGGACAGTGACTGCAGCGTAGTCGATTCCATCTTCTTCCTTGAATTTGACGCTTCCATCTGCAGAAACCTGTTCGATCCAATATTAAGACCAGATCAATCACAAACCCTAACCCTAAGCATAATGTTTCTTGTCATAGAAGCAAAGACTCAAAAACCAAACCTCGAAGGACCCTTCGATCTCGTCAAGTGTGTAGGTGAGACGGGTCATGAGCTTTGTGTTCTGGAACTCAGGAGGTGCATTCTTGCTTACACTATCAGCCTTGACAGTGAAGGAAGTAGGCTCGAAGCAGAACTTCTTGCCTGCGTACTTTCCGGCCTTGAACGAGAATGTCTCAGAGCCACCTTCGATAGTTGGGCACTGGTTAGCAGTTCCAGTTCCCTTCACTTCCATGTATGTCTTGCTCTGAATCTCATCGTAAGTCAGTCTCTTTGGAACTCCCTCTGCACTTGCTCCCTTTCATTACACCAGAAAGAACACAACTTTATTTCAACAAAATTGATCCAATACAATTCCAAATTCCTAAATCATTTCATATCTAATTAGTAATGAAGAACACATTTTTGACTGAATGGATCTACAAGAATCAAGTGTTATGCTAATCCGAATCTTGTAAAGAAGCCAGAATCGTTTTATCACACAAACACAAGTAAACTAACTCTTTTGCTCTGTTTCTTATCTAAGAATCGGTGACGGAGAATGAGAAAGTTACCGAGGCGACGAGGGCAGAGGTAGCGAGAGCAAATCCGGCGATTTTGACAGCGTCGGAGCATTTTCCGGTGAAGTCTTTGAAGTCAGATTGGAAGGAACAAGAGAGACGAGCAGAGGAAGTTTCTAGACCAAAAGATTTGCCAACGGCCTGAGTCGACCGGAGAGGAGTACCTCCGCGAGAAGGAGCGGTGGGGATTTTCGCCGACTGGATAAATGTGGCGGCGGATTGGAGAGAAGCTGCCATGGCAACAGAGTCTTTGATTGTGTTTGTGATCCAAAGCTGAGGAAAGTAGAGAGTAAAGAGTAATAATCGGAGAGAGAGAGAGATAAGATTTTGAGATAAGGCGAGGATTTTGATTGGTTTGTTTCCTGAGAATCATAGTGTCTGGTTTATGTTGTTGCCACGTGTCGAAATCTTAGGTGGAGATATGGATACTGTCTCACTCAGGGGATGCTGACGACAAAAACATCTTTTGGTAAAACATTAAAAAGATGGCCTATACAGGGATCGAACCTGTGACCTTCG